ATGGGTATCAGCAAGCACCACCCGGGCCTGTTGCCTTCAGCTACCCCACGGGGGTGAGCTGGCTTCTGTGTGGCCTCCCCAGCGTGCCCAAGGGGCTTCCCCACGCAGCGGCTGGTGCCTCCGTTCCAGACACTTCAGAGGGGCCTAGACTTTGTCAGTCAAAGGTGAAGTCTCCGTGTACTGGAAATCCAGAAGCCGAGAAGGGGGTTCAGCTTGGGGCTTCTTACAAGGCCAGAAACCCACAGCTTGGTCTGCACTGCCTCCCCACTTCTGCCTTTGCTGGTTGGCCCCTGTATCCATAACCCCCTGTCCAGTTTCCCTGGGGTCTGGGCAAGGAGAGAGCCTGGCAGGAAGCAGCTTGTCACCGCACATCTGGGAAAGCTGATCTTAATCTGTCCCAGCATTGATCTATCGTAGGCGCAAAGAAACAGTTAATGTGGCCATTAATCTCCGGGTGCATGGGCTTAATGAGGCGGTGGCGGTGGGCGGGCGTAGCGAGCCGGCATGGCGCCGTGACAGCTTTGGGGAGGACCGTGCTCCCTATTGCTGTGCTGGAGCCCTGCCTCTGGTGGGGCTGGCTGGGACGTCCTTGGCTTCTCAAGATGGACCCCTTTACCTTTCCTTTGCAAGCTGTGCCCAAACGCAGGTCTTCAGACCCTCCGCGTCCTGGCCAAATCGACCTGGGTTTTAGGGGAACGTGCCAGCGCCCTTTGTCCACCAGATCATGGCGCTGAACTCGGTGGGTGATGGAGGCATGCAGCAGAGATCTAGGTTGAATGGAAAGGCATGGGCTATTCTATCCTGCAAACCCAAGAAGGTCCCTCCAGACTGCCCTTGCGTGGATCTCGGCTCAGCCCATGTGCCTCTAATCTCTGGTCCCATAATGTCCATGTGCCTCGCCATCTCCAGCACGCCGGCTGTCCTGCTGGGCATGCAGCTGCTGCTTCCCATTTCACAGATAGTGGTGCCTCACTTCCCAAAGGGACTTGGCCAGCGTCATGCAGGGAGCCCAGCAGAAGGAGGAATTGAGCCCAGATCGGTCGAGCCGCCGGACCCCGGAGCATCTTTCCTGCACGTAGCTGCTGAGCTCCAGGGCTGTGTGGCTCTGCCCTCCGGTCTGGTCTGTGCCTGGTGGGTCTCTGGTCCCACTAGTAGGCAGAGCCAGGGGAGGCATATGCTGCCCCTTAACCATACAGTGAAAGCAGACGCGAGAGCATCTGGGATCTTGGAGACGACTGTTCTGAACTGCTGCCATGTGATGCTGGGATCGTCAAATCCTAGAGCCATGGGGCTGGAAGGGAGCTGCGGGGTCGCATCTAGTCCCAGCCCTGCCCGAGGCAGGATCAGCTCCGTCCAAACTAGCCCAGACAGACCGTGTCCCACCTTGGAGCCTCATGACGCAGTTGCCCCTGCCCCCAGGAAAGCAGGGGGGCTGCGGCCGCCACCGTCCTGCTGCTGCCAGGGGGGTCATGGGCGCTGCAGAGAGCCCTGCTGCAGAGGAAGGCAAAAACGCACCAGTTCGCACCAGTCTGACCATTCTCGGATCTCGTGTTGGGGGATGTCGAGCTTCGGACCCATCCAGGGAAGCATCTCTCAGTTGTTCGGGGACCGAGAGTCCAGAGGGGTGCGTGCATTGGGAGCAGAGTTTCCTCGGGCAGAGCATCTGGAAGAGCTGCTACCGCCGCCGGGGGAGCGACCGTGGTGTGAGACACATCCCTGCTACGAACCTTTGGGTCGGAAAATCGGAGAACTCCTAAGGATCAACAGCTGTGACAGAGCCTCTCGTGTGCAAAGCCCCAACCTCCTTGCCGGGGAGGAACCCTGGGAAGCCGAGCGCTGGGAGCCGCGGGCGGGCGGCTGCACCTGGGTCTGGCCGGGAGCAGCTCTGGTTTATTGGTGCTTCGGAGCATTCGCCTTGCCCTCCCTCCAAGAGGAGGCCCGGGGGCAGTTTCATTTCAGAGCCTTCCTGGGGAAAGCCAGAGCAGCGCGTGCGGAGGCTCTTTCGGATGCAACAGCAGTGCCTCGACAAAGCCCTTCGATCCATTTATCAAAGCGCCTGCGGCTTTTGTACTGGGGCAGGCGAAGCCGCAATAAATATTGGAGAAAGGGAGCTGTAAACAGCAGACTGGGACATTTGTTAGCCAGATAAAGAGGCCGGTGTCTCGGGGTGGGTATGCCGAGTCTCCCCTTCTGCTGCCAGCCCCCACAGCCGGGGAGGAACTGGCATGTGCGGCAGGTGATGGATGTGGTGCCCGTGGGAGTTGCTTCCACCTTCCTTTAAGGTCATGGCTATCTCCTTGGCCCCGAGTGACCCCCGTGCAGGGTCCTGACCCCATGGCTGGCTTAGCTGATGGCAGCAATCCTGCTCACTTAGGCCGGCCTGTCCAAGCTGCCGTGGGTCCCAGAGTCCAAATCCCACCTGGGGTGTTTGGAACGGGGATCTCTAGTCCTGATGTTGCTCCCATGGCATCTGGCTCCATCTGCTTCCCTGGGGCTGGACAGACAAGCAGCCTGGGGCTTAACTTACAGTGATGCTCTGCTTGCAGGATTTATACTTGAGCTTTATGCTTGAAGGGCTGCCATAAAGAGAAGAGGAAACACCCTTTTTCTCCTGCTGCAGAGAGCAGGATGTGGACCAGCGGCTGGAAGTTGCAGACAAGGAGGTTTAGGCTGGATCTAGGGGAAAAGCATTGTCAGAGCAGGGAGGCTGTGGGAGAGACGCCAGGGCCGGAGGCTGGTGGGGAGCTCCAGCACTGGAGGTGTCAGGATGGGCGCTGGGCGGGAGGATCTAGGTGCAGCGATGCCCGTGCTCTGCTGTGGGGTGTCCCAGGCCTCTGGGTTGTGCTGTCTGCCCCCAACCCCCTTTTCTGCTCCCTGTGTTGGGGTCTAATCCTCCCTCAGAGGCGCTGGTGGTGCTGCAGCCCAGGCTGGGGCTGAGGCTGGGCTGTGCCAGTGTTCCTGCTGGCACCAACCCCGCAGGGTCCTGGCTGGAGTGTCTTGCCCCTGTGCTCGGGCTCAGCCTCATGCTTCACTGGGGCAAGAGGGGATTTCCCCCCTTCTCAGACTGGTCGCACTGGGGGATTTTGCCTTCCTCTGCAGTGGGGGCAAGGCTTGGGCCTGGGCGCTCTGCAGCGCCCATGACCAGACATGGGGGCAATGCTTGGGGCTGTGTTAGGGGCAACTGTGTCGTGTGGCTCCGAGGGTTGCACACGGGGTTTGTCAGGGCTGGTTTGGATGGGGCTGATCTTGCCTTGGACTGGATGTGACCCTGCAGCTCCCTGCCAGCCCCGCGGCTCCACGACTCTGAGAGCCCCGATGTAAGCGGCCTCGTGCACATTTCATTGAAGCAGCTGGCAGGAAGCGACCCGTGTCTTACAGCCACTGCCCTTGTTGTGCCACCCTCCACCCTGCTCTGCCTTTCCCTGCCATGGGCTCTGTCTACATTGCTTTAAGCCTGTTTGGTGATGCTCTTTGCATGTTTCTGGGTGCAGCAGGAAGGGGGGACAGCACATGGCAGCAGCATCCCGAAGGCAGGGTCAGGCCTCCTGCCTCAGCCCTGAGGCCTGGCATCGGGCAGTCCTGGCCCCAATGCTGGCCACGCTGGAGGTTTTGGAGGAAGGCAGAACCCCATCCGTGGGCTGCCTGGCTCCGGGGAGCCTGGGATCCCTTTCTGACCCCCGCCGCCACAATTATGCCCCGAAGCATGAGATTGGATTACTCTGCCCTCGGCACGCAAGCAGCTCTAGAGCAATGGGTTTTATCTGCAAAACCAGGGCCCAGAGGAGGCTGAGGCCATGGGTAACGAAGCCCCTGAGGGGTGTTCTCTGCCGAAAGGAGCAGACGCAACCCTCGGTGTCTGTTTTAATTTGGATTTGCGTAATCCTGTTATCCCTCTGACTAAGCACGCGCCGCCGACACATGCGCTCGCCAGAGCAAGAGTGGTGCCAGGGGCCAGAGTCTGTTCCTTCTTTACTCCTCTCCTGTTTCCCCACCAGGGCCTGGTGTTGCTGCACGCGGGAAGGGTCCAAGGCAGGCTGGCAAAGCTTTGCCTGCCCTCCGGCCACAAGCAGCTGGGTGGCTTGTTGCTTAAAGGCAAGAATAAAAATGCTAGTTCCTTATGCAGGAGAGGGGTGCAGAGGGCCGGGGCTCCGAACACCACAGAGCGGGGCGTCAGCCTTGCTGGCTATAGCCCAGGTGCTGTGTCCCGCTCGGACCAGCTCAGCTATGTTTGCACAGGATTAAACGTGGCTGGAAATGCTTAAAACAGCACCGCATTTCTGGGTCTGCAGCAGCTGGAGAGGTGCTTTTTGGTCTCTTGAGCATTCGGCTAATTCGCTTTGTGGGCTGCGCCTGGAAGCTGGGTCTAGGCAGCAGCCCCTCGGTCCTTGCCTTGCTTCTTGCAACAGGGCCTCTGTCCTCCTCTCCCCCATCTCTCCAAAGCTCATCCCAGCAGGCCTCTTGATTAAGGCACCGTTGTGGAGTCGAGTCCCCTGCCTTAAGCACTGGACCAGCACATGGTCGGGCTGGGGACCGTGGGGTCTCTGCTGTCATCTGAGTGCCCTCATGGTCTGCTGATTGGGGACCCGGGCTTGGCGCTGGTCCCTTGGGCTGTACTGCTGAGGGAGGGAGCTCCATTGACTGGGGTCCTTCCCTGCATGGCTTGGGGTCACCGGGCATCTGAAGCGGCAAGGCCTGTCCTGGGCATGCACGCTGGCTGAGTCCAGCCCGGTTGCTCCCATGGCCACCTGTTTGGGCCTGGCAGGGAGGCACTGCCCAGTGGTGCCACCTGCCTTTCAGGCCTTTTCTGCCTGTTGGTGGTCCTGGGCCTGCCAGCGCCTTGGAGGGAGGCAGCTTCATGTTCCCAGGGCTGAGCTGTGCCCTGGAGACCCCCCTGGCCTGGGTTAGCTGTGCAAGGGGAGGCATGCCGGGAGGGGCTGGGTGGGACACAGGAGTTGTTGCCCTCGGTACGGGCTCACCTGCTTCTGCTTCTTTGTCCCCAGGTGATGCAGGTGCTCAACGCGGACGCCATCGTGGTGAAGCTGAACTCGGGAGACTACAAAACCATCCACCTCTCCAGCATCCGGCCCCCAAGACTGGAGGGCGAAAGCACTCAGGTAGGACGTCTGTCTGCAGGTGACCGCGGTCCCTGGCTATGGACTCTGGTGGGGGGGCCGACCCCTACGAGTAGTGAAGTTGGCGGCCGTAACGGCGGGTCACGGGGCCTCTGTTGTGCCAGGACTCTGCCGTTCGAACCGGGGGTGGCTGCAGCAGCTGCCTCTCGGCGAGCATCTGCACAGTACAGCCTCCGACTCTTCCCCGAGGCAGATGCGGCTCCTTGCGTGGGATGCGCGTGTCGGAGGCAGGGAAGGCTTCCGGGCACCTCTGCCTACGGTTCCCTGCGCCTTGGTTACTGCCAAGAAGGGGCTGTATGTGCAGAGAGCAGGAGGGACCGGTGGGGGTGTGGAGGAGAGAAAGGCGTCTGCCCCAGGCCTGCTGTTCCTTGCATGACCTTCACCTTGGCTGGAGACATGGGAGCGTCTCTGTGCTTTCCAGTGCCTTGAGACCCTTTTTACCCCGCAGTCGGTTGTTTGTCTGTCCGTACTTAAGGTCCAAAAATCAGTGTCTCACTCCAGAGCAGGAGACCATATAACGTGCTAACTCCCCACCTTAGTTTTCCCTTCTTTGCTGGTTTTCTTTTCTTCCTCCTGCTCATAAGGCTTCTGTCCCCAGGCCTCTGGCAGCAGGTGGGTTTCAGAGCCAAGTGGGGCAGGTGAGGGGCAATATAGACCCGCCAAAGCCCTATCTGGGGAAAATGCAGTCTTTGTGTCAGCCAACCTCCCGGCGTGGAGACCATCCCCCTATGAGGCTTCCCTCCCTGCCCTGGCGTCAGCCTCTGGTGACCCTCCTGTGGCCGCAGGTTGCAGGGCGCATGGCCAGATGCAGCTGGCTGCATGCTAATGTGAGCTGAATGGAAAGTGCCACGCAGCTGAGCATTCGGGAGAAGCAGGCGGCTTAAGCAGCGAGCGTTGCCTTCCAGTCCTCTGGGCTTGGTCTCGCAGCCTCAGACAGGGCCTTCCAACTTCCCTGCAGCCTCTCAGGTGTGGCATGGCACATGGAGGGCTGCAGGGAGCTGAGTAAAATCCTGGTTTGTCTTGGAGACTCCTTCCTCCTCTCCCTCTGGGACTTGTAGTCACATTTATAGACCCCTTCATCCTCTGGCATAAAGGCTCCTGAAGACCAGCCTGCATGGACCGAGCTTCCAAGCGGAAGCTGGGAGCATCTGATGTCCAAGACCCGAGGACCGGAGCTGTTGGGACACGTTGCTCTGTGCCCGAACCTCTCGGTAAGGGACCAAGCAGATGGGAGCTGCTTCGGGACCTGTGTGCTGACCCATGGTGCTCAACGTGAGCACGAACCCAGCAGCCTCCTGGGTTGTATGAACAGGAGCGTTGCTTGCAAATCCAAGGCGGTGATTCTCCAGCTCCGCTCTGCACTGAGGAAGCCTCCCCTAGAGTCCAGCGCCCACTTCTGGGCCCTGCTCTTCAAGAAGGTGGGCAGGTTGGAAAGAGGGGCCTGGGAGGCCAGACTGAATTAAGGCTAGACGAACTAGGGTTATTTGGTGTGGAGCAGAGAGGGTTTTGATCACAGTCGTCAAATCCCTGCAGGGCGATGACCGAGGATGGAGGCAGACTCTTCTCTGTGGCCTCGGGACGGAGCTAGGAGCAATGGTCTCCAGCTGCAGCAGGGGAAACTGAGGCTGGAGATGAGGGCGGAGCGTCTGGTCTCTGAGCAGGGTCAGGGATCGCAACAGGCACCTAGAGGAGTGGTGGGATCTCCACCTTTGGAGGTTTTCAAAAGCAGGTTGGACAGACCTGTGGCTGAGCTGGCTTAGTTGGGGCTGATCCTGCCTTGAGCAACGAACTAGGTTAGATGCTTGGTCCTTTCCAGCTCTGCTTTCCTACCATCCCAGGAACGTGGAAGCATTGGGGGTCGGGCTAGGTGTGGCCTCCTGAGGTCCCTTCCAACCCTTGTTTTCTGCTTTGGGATCATCTTTTCTGCTTTGCTGTGCTGGGGTGCGAGCGCACCTCTGGTTTAGCTTCCGACTCGACCTCTGCCTCTGACTCCAGCCTGGGGCACCTCACGTATTCCAGGCCTCCGTTCCCCTGTGTGCAAAATGGGGGGTGCTGTCCTCTCTCGCCGGGTGCGGAGCTGTTCTGAGGGCCACAAAACCAAGGGGTTGTTCTTTCACCCATTGAAACGGGTGTGATGCTTTCTTGCGGCTGCAGCGGGGGTCACATCCGTGCTGTGATCGGAGCCTCCCGGCGGTCAGCCAACTTCGCAGGCACAGGCTGCTTGTCGCAGAATCTGCCCGTGGATTTCAAGGGGCTCCAAGGAGCACGGCAACTGGCCCTGCTAGCCGAAGGGACCTCCAGCCGGCATCTTTAATACGTCGTATGAATACTGCATGAAGGGGGTGGTGGCTTGGCTGGTGCGCAGAGAGGCTGTGATTCAAGGTGGCTTTCTCTTCTGAGCAGGGGCCTGGCACGTAGCGTGCGCCCCGGCCAGTGCAATGGGCCGTGCTAGCGGCTCCTGCTTTGGCCTCCTCGCTCCGCTGTCCGAGGAAAGCATCCCAGAGCCTCCCAAACGGGGCAGATGGGCAGGGGGGGCAGAGCCGGGGTTGCTGTGGGAACCGGAGCTTGGAAATTCCTGCCGTCTGCAACGCCGCGGTGTTTTGTACACACTGAATTATGAATAACGGCTAAGATTAGACGGTTCCTCCTGCTGTCTCCTTGGCATCTGCCGCAGGTGGCATGGTGTTGCAGGGAGCTGAGCATGCCGCTTGTGTAATGGGAGGGGGACATTCCCGGTGAAGGCTACGGGGCGCTGGCTGCTTTGCTGCCATGCCAGGGCTTGGCACTACATTGGCTTTGGCTTGTCTTGAGGTAGTGCCGGCACCTTACAGCCCCTATGCCGTGCTGACTACTTCTGTGACAACTCCTAAGGGGTTGTTAAGCCTCTTCCAGAGGCACTGGTGCTGCTGCAGCCCAGGCTGGGGATGGGCTGGGCTGTGCCAATGCTCCTGCTGGCACCAACCCCACAGGGTCCTGGCTGCAGGGTCTTGCCCCCACGCTCAGGCTCAGCCCCACACTGCACTGGGGCAGGAAGGGATTTCCCTCTGCTCAGACTGGTTGCACTGAGAGGTTTTGCCTTCCTCTGCAGCGGGGGCATGGCCTGTGCTCTCTGGAGCATATATTGACAGCCTCTTGTAGAAGCAGGAGGTTGGCTTTCCCAGCTTTCCCTGTGCCAGGTTCGGGTGCGGTGTCTTGTGTTGTGTCGGGGTTGATGGTCATTCATGTAGAGTTCAGGCGATGGACGTGTCTGGGATGGTTTGGAGAAGAACATGAGGACTACTGTGGACTGGGTCAGACCCAGGTCCGTCGTGTCCAGTCTCCAGTGTCACACGGGCAGAGAGCGGAGCTGGATGGGAGAGCGGCGGAGTCTGAGCAGGGTTTTTCCCCCTGCTCCTCTCTCCCTTGCAGCCTTTACGGTCCAGGCTGCTCTGATGCAGAGGCCGTGCCGCTCGCTCCCTGCTCCAGAGCGCCCCGTGCCCATTTCCTCCAAGCCCATGTCCAGTTCCTGGGTGGATCTGGCCGAGCTCTCGGCTCCCACCGCATCCGGTGGCCACTATCCTCACACTTGTAATTGCATGCGGTGTGAAAAAACTTCCTTGTGTGAGTTTTAGGGCTGATCGTGCCTCAGGCAGGGGGTTGGACTAGATGTGACCCTTGGCGCTCTCTTCCAGCCCCCTGGCTCTAGGTTTTCGCTCTTTTTGGCGGGGTGGCGTGTGGGTCCTCCGGAGGCCCAGAGCCGCTGGGACTGCTGCGTTCCCTTTCGGTGCCTTCGCCTCGCCTCCCTGTACAGCTGGGCTTGGATGGGCCCTGGAAAGCTAGTCTCCTGCAGGGACCTGCTCTCCTCCCGTGGCGTTTCCTCTGCCTGTGCTTTTCAGGGCACCCGAGGTCATCGTAGCCCAGAAAGCACAGTCCTGGCCCTGAGATCAGGGGCCGGGTCGGTGATGGGGAAGCCTTCCCACGCTGTTGCTTCTTGCTGGTCATTTTCTTAGGGTCTCGTTTGGGGGAAGCTCGCTGGCTCTGTGCAACCCACTCGCTCTTTGCAATCAAAAGACCCCAGAGCTGGCAGAGACCTCCATAGCTGTCTGGTCCCGCTCCCTGCTGACTGCACTGTCCCTTGCACACCCCAGACAAGTGCGTACCAGCCTCTTCTGGAAACCCTCCACGGATGGCAGCACTGCCACTTCCCTGCTCCAACTTGGGGGAAGTCCTTTCTCCCAGCTCTGCTAGCATCCCACTGGGGCAGCTGCCCGGGGCCATGAGCTTGGGTTATCGGATGCTGTTCCTTGCTCTGGGTTCGCTGGTGCCAGCGCGGCACCCCGGAGAATGAAGCTCGTGCACGCTCCCAGCAGAGGCCAGCCCCCCTTTGAAGCTCTCCCCTGGGCCGTGAGTAACGTGCATCGCAAGAAGAGGTGGGAAACCCCGGCTCGGGCTCCTCCGGTCCCAGGGGCCGTGCCGGCGCTCCTCCCTGCACCGCTTTCTCCAGGGCTTTGATCTCCATGTTCTCGAGCACTAGGGCTCCCGGCCCTTCCCCTGGCAGCCTGGAGGGTGTTTTCCTTGGCGTTCAGGGGGCTGGCTGCTCTGCCCACCCCCATCGGATGGATGTAGACCGAGCACCTTGCTGCTCTGCAGTGGCCCTCGTCGTGTCCAGCTGAGCCCCCTGGCTGCATTCAGCCCCTTTGTTTTCCGATCTTCCTAGCTCGTTTTTTGCTCTTTCGGCAGCTGTTCTCCGGCCTGTCATTCCCTTTCCCTTTCCCTCTGGGATCTGCTCCTCCCTGAGCCGTATCCCTCTTACTACAGACTGGCCGGCCCTGCTTGGACTTCTAGGATTGCTCCCCGCTCCCCATGCTCAGGCCTTGCTTAATTATCTGGGAATGTAATAACTAGGGTGTTTACCCAACGATTTAATAAGATGGGATCTCATCCAGATCCTCGCTGGGCCCACCACAGGGCTGTCGGTACGTGGCCTGGGCTCCCGATGCACC